CACTGTCCAATCCGACAAAGCGTGACGACAGAGTCGAAATCTTTTCGGCGACCGCGACTCGTTGGATCCGGAGCGAAGCGCGAGCTATTTTAGCCGACGGTTCACACTGCATCCTCCGGCGGGCAAAGCCAAACCTCGAGTGACCAGAAGCTGCACAAACTGCCAACACCCAGTTCGCCTCTTGTTTTCACCAGCGACGAAGTGAGGGTAGCCATTGGGAAAGCGAAAGCCTCCAACTGCATGCTCAAGCCTCAATTTGCATGCTGATGCTGAAAAATTTGGGTCCTGTGGGAGTGAATTACTTAACCAAGGTCCTCAACCTGTTTATGGCCACTCATCATTCCAGACATCTGGAAAATGGGGAGAGTAGTCTCATTGCTCAAACCGAGGAAACCATCCAACAAAGAAGTCTTATCGTCCGATGACCCTCCTTTCCCCGGTAGCGAAGACCCTAGAGGCCCTTCTACTCCCGCACTACACAAACCACTTGACCCCAGCGAGGTTCTAAATTATGCAGCGCTCGTGTAGTCTCCCGGAACTAGCAGGACGCAGTGGACCAAGCTACAGACTTGTCAGAACACGGCACTTAGGACTGCGACTGGATGCCTTCTGATGTCGCCCCAATACCACCTGCACGACGAGGCGAAGATGCTCCCCATTAAGGAGCATAACAAAATGCCTAGTAGGGTGCCACAGACGCGTGAATCCGAACAGACAACTGCTCGCAGAAGGCACCCTGAAATTGTGCATATGGAAACTGTGCATATGAAAAAAACCGAAATAATGCATACGAAAAAAACCGAAATAATGCATATATGCACAGTTTCGGTTGAAAACCGCAATAATGCATATTAGAAAAACCGAAATTATGCATATGCACTCTTTCGTTTGAAAACCGAAATAATGCATATGAAAAAAACCGAAATAATGCATATATGCACAGTTTCGGTTGAAAACCGCAATAATGCATATTAGAAAAACCGAAATTATGCATATGCACTCTTTCGTTTGAAAACCGAAATAATGCATATGAAAAAAACCGAAATAATGCATATATGCACAGTTTCGGTTGAAAACCGCAATAATGCATATTAGAAAAACCGAAATTATGCATATGCACTCTTTCGTTTGAAAACCGAAATAATGCATATGAAAAAAACCGAAATAATGCATATATGCACAGTTTCGGTTGAAAACCGCAATAATGCATATTAGAAAAACCGAAATTATGCATATGCACTCTTTCGTTTGAAAACCGAAATAATGCATATGAAAAAAACCGAAATAATGCATATATGCACAGTTTCGGTTGAAAACCGCAATAATGCATATTAGAAAAACCGAAATTATGCATATGCACTCTTTCGTTTGAAAACCGAAATAATGCATATGAAAAAAACCGAAATAATGCATATATGCACAGTTTCGGTTGAAAACCGCAATAATGCATATTAGAAAAACCGAAATTATGCATATGCACTCTTTCGTTTGAAAACCGAAATAATGCATATGAAAAAAACCGAAATAATGCATATATGCACAGTTTCGGTTGAAAACCGCAATAATGCATATTAGAAAAACCGAAATTATGCATATGCACTCTTTCGTTTGAAAACCGAAATAATGCATATGAAAAAAACCGAAATAATGCATATATGCACAGTTTCGGTTGAAAACCGCAATAATGCATATTAGAAAAACCGAAATTATGCATATGCACTCTTTCGTTTGAAAACCGAAATAATGCATATGAAAAAAACCGAAATAATGCATATATGCACAGTTTCGGTTGAAAACCGCAATAATGCATATTAGAAAAACCGAAATTATGCATATGCACTCTTTCGTTTGAAAACCGAAATAATGCATATGAAAAAAACCGAAATAATGCATATATGCACAGTTTCGGTTGAAAACCGCAATAATGCATATTAGAAAAACCGAAATTATGCATATGCACTCTTTCGTTTGAAAACCGAAATAATGCATATGAAAAAAACCGAAATAATGCATATATGCACAGTTTCGGTTGAAAACCGAAATAATGCATATGAGAAAATACCGAAATTATGCATATGCATACTTTCGTTTTAAAAGCGAAATAATGCATATGAAAAAAAACGAAGTAATGCATACATGCACAGTTTCGGTTTAAAACCGAAATAATGCATATGGTAAAAACCGAAATAAAGCATACATGCACAGTTTCGGTTGAAACCGAAATAATGTCTAAATGCACAGTTTCCATATGCGCAATTTCGGTGCCCCCTCGCAGAAGGGCCCCGCCAAGGCGCGTCAGGAGGCATCTCTACGAACTGACGGACGAAGTCCAGAGGTTCATAAAACAAACTCGGGACCCAACTGCATACCGACAAGCCCTAAACGGCATTCACAGGGAGTCGGTCTCGAGTTATATACTCGCGACCTGTGAATGGCGTTCTGGGCACACAACCACCGGACGTGGACGGGACAGAACTTTGTATGCCTCGGGTGACCCACACCACAATAGCCCAACTTTGCTCTGGCTATTGCAACACCTGAGTAGAATAAACGAAGATGTGCCCAACCAGTGCCCGGCATGCAGACAGTCGCCACTTGACTCACGGCACCTCTTCGCATGTCCCCAAAACCCCACCCAGCTTACGCCCCTGTCCGAATGGACAGCCCCTGTCGAAGTTGCGCACTTCCTGTACTTCCGTTTAGCTGAACCAGACGACAACGCAGATGGATGAGCCGACCCGAGCGGGGTTTAGTAGCCGCTACAACAAAAATGCATATTTTAATAGCGTTCCCAAACCATTCGCTTTCCAATTGATAATACCACCCTTCGCCTTTTATGCATTTTATAGATAATGCTTCTGAAAGAGGACCCGTGGCGATAGTTTCAGTAGCATCTGCCAGCCTCCTTTTCCTTGTGAAGGTCGACCACTCGTCAATGGGGTTTGTTGTTCTCCCTGTAGTTCGATGGGTTGACGTACTCGGCTTTTCTTCATCAAATGAACTTATACTCGCTAGCCAGTTTTCATGCTTCATTATAAACTTAATAGTACAACGATTGGCGACTCGCTATTTGTCCTTTATTTTGATGTAAACTAAATTAATTTTTTTCTCCAGATCTCTGCATTCTTCTATGTTGTGTATTTTACTCTTTAATTCTCTCATAATCGCCGCAACCAAATCCCTTTTAGTCTGTGAAGCATTATTACAAATTTTTGAGCTATGATATCATCCTACACGGTTAAAAATTTCGGTTTTAATTTTAAACTTTTTGGACTACATATATGACCAAACTAAATTCAGTTTCAAATACAAACCTTCCAAGTTTATAAAAAAGAGGGCACATATGTTGGGTTTAGAACTTAAACAATTCGGTTTAAATGTTAAACCCAAACATTTTCATAATTAAGAATAAAAAAAAAAACAATCTTAAATTTCATGCTCCGTCTGGTTGGGATTGAACCCGGACAGCCTTGGTAGCAACCAATTGTATGAAGCATCTTTGCACACTCAGCTACAGCCACGCATGTAAATGTGCTTTCATATGTTGAGTTTGAATCAACACCACAATTCGCTGTGCAAACATATTCTATTTCGGTTTAGATTTTAAACCAAAGTTTCTATATTTGAAACCTTGAAACTAGAATTAAAACATTTTGGTTTGATTTTTAAACCACGAACTTTTTGGGCTAAAATTTAAACCAGAATATATTAAAAATTGCGTAAAACTTTTATTGACTATAAAAGTTTAAAAAAGGCAGTAGTTCCAGCGCGGTTTAAAAATTAAACCCAAATTTTTGACCGTGTAGAAAATAACGCAATACAGAATACTTTACTCTTTAAAGTTCAAAAACGACTGTTGTTAAACACTGTATTATACATAGGTTTAAAAACGCAAATCACTAATCATCAAACGCTTCCCTACTTGTTACACATTTTGCAAATAAAATGATCGAAACATAGAAAGAATTTCCCTGAAGGTATACTATGTAGTTCGTAAACAAAAACCAAAAAGATTCTTCCGGGCACAGAGCGCAGTTCTCCATACTCTCTGCATTATCGAGGAGAAGTTTGCACTTTCTGGAGTCTCCTTTCTTTAGTGACCTTGGGTGATTAGATGATTTAAACCTTAGGTGCCTGACGAGTTTCGTCAAGGATTCAAAATTGTTCAGCAAGGGGGAGTACAACTCTTAGTTGTGGTATCACAACGGGTCTTCAACTCTTGGCCTATGCCAGAAAGCACAGTATCTAACGTTAGAGAAACGCTTTGATTTTACATTAGAATTCTAATGTAGGTACATAGTTCACGAATCGACAACGAGGTTAGAGAACTATATTAGAATTCGATTAGCGAATGATTAGAAAAACACTAGACATTAGAAACCAATTAGAATTCAACGGTAGAATACACTGAGGAAAATAACGCACGGTAAAAATGAAAATTTTAAATTTGAGTATACACTGAGAGGGAAAAATAGTAAAATGAAATAAAAACGTATTTAAGTCAAATGAAAACGTGTTCGAAAGTAGTGTATAATGGAAATATTCAATTGCAAAACCAACGCTTCATTTTAATATGGGCGTATTTGAATTGAATGTTTCCATTATATAATAATTTTGAGCACGTTTTCATTTGGATTAAATACGGTTTTATTTGATTTTACTATTTTTCACCCTTAGTGCATGATTAAATATCTAACCCTTTTCTCAATATCGAGAACTTACTTTTGTAGAAAATACTATAGTCCTCAACAGTTTATCTAATCGTCTTCTAACCGTATACCTTAGAAAAACACATAAGATTCGAATCGCATTCTAATCGTTTTCTAACCTAAATGTCTACCTAATAAAGCTAAAAGTAGTTCGAGTAACCATGATTATGCTTGAATACTCTTTAAGCAAGCATCTTTTCATTTTCAGTATGATATTATTTAAAAAATTATTATTTGCGGTCCCTAGTTTATGTAATTGATATTAAAAAACAATGTTGGAAACTCAATTACCTTATCCGATTCGCTTGACTCAGTTTTTTGAACTTGATGTGGTATAAAATCGCATTCTGGGCTTGTACCATAGATGTCATCAAAATTTTCATACAGAATTGGTATCTCCAAAGTCAAAACCCCAGACGTTGATTCGACCTTGCGAAATTTAAACAGCATAACTTGTCCAACACAACCAGCAACACATAATCGGCGCGATTCAGAGCAAAGATATATATGTTGAATTGCAAGTGGATTTTCGATTCCACCGTCAGGATGTGAATTTTTCGGTTTTTCAAACACTTTTGCCGTTTTCAATTTATATAATATCTAAAAGCATTTTATTAAATAATATAATGTTAGTAACAGTGATCATACATACTTGCAGAGTTCCTGCACCAGAGTCCCAAAACTTTAAAGTGCCATCTTGATGACCAGTGATTATGATTTCCGAATAACTACACGATGCAGGAAACCACTCTCCGCCGTTTATCGGCCATTCTCGCTCAGAAAAGCCAGTTTTCTTAGTAGTCGTTGTGCGACCAACCTATGAAAATCGACGTTTGTAACTATTATCATTTAATAACATACTCGTATTCTTAATTGGCCACTAGGCTTCCAAGTAGATATCGCTCATTTACTAAAATACTGTGACATCTTAAAAAACGATATTTTACAGGAGACGCGTTTAATGTTTTAAATTTTCTCCCAAAATGTATTTTATATTTTACGTGGAAAGTACACAAGATCTTAGGACGAAGATTTTACACAATAAGAAGCATGATATAACGATTAGTTTTGCAACATTTACTCAAAAATCTAGATTTTGTGTTATGAGTCTTTTGGTAAATAAGCGATATTTAGATGCATAAGTACATCGGCGTAGCCAGAATGAAATTTTGGGGGGGGGAGATCGACCCTATTAAGCTGGCATTTCAGGGTACTATTTTATATATATATAAGGAAAATTTGAAAGTTAGGGGGGAGGGCTCGAGCACCCCCCCTTCCCCTACCTGGCTACGCCCATGCATAAGTACATACGCAGTTTATCCAACTTTATAGACAAAAAATTTCCCCTGAAGTTTTCTTTTTAATTACACAACTCTAACAGCCGTAACTTCAGTTACTAATTGAAAAAACTCTCTCAGAGTCGTTATGGTTCATTTAATTAATATTAAAGTTAACTTAACGAACTATTTTGACTTTTTTTCAATAAATTTCGCTTTCGCTCACGCTGCTCCAACAGTCGCAATGGCCGAGTGAGAAGACCACTGACGTGTCATTCGAGAGATACGAGGATCAAATCCTCTGCAGAGGGCTTTTTAAATTTTAAATTTAATTTTTCTTTAATTTGTCTTTCAAAAAACAGAAAAGACCTTTCAAGATAGTTGCCTGAATTGACTTTTGTATTTCGAAAGACTGTGATGAGTTGAAAGGCAGATGCCAGAATTGGCCTGTTAGCGGTATTGTTTGTCTTTTAACAATAAGTTTCTGAAAATTAAATTAAATGGAAAAAAATGTTTCTTTTAAAATACTAAAAACTAAAACAAAACTAAAGTGAAAAGGAAAAAGATATTAAAATAACTGAATAAGTTAAAAAATAAAAGAATTTAAATAAAATATTTAGCTTTTTAAAGCAATAAAATCGATATATTAAAAGAAAATTAAATTAAAAAAATAATAATTTAAATGAAAGAATCTAAAAATTCTAAAGTTTCTAAAAATTAGATTAAATAAAATAATGTATAACTTTTCTTTTTAAAACATTAAAGTACAAAAATTAAAAAATACTATTAAATTAGAACAAGTATGTACAATAAAAAATAAATCAAGTATTTGAACAATTTTAGTCTTAAAACGTTTATTTAGGCAAAAAGTACAGAAATTACTAATTTTTACATTGTCTTTCGAAAAAATCATAATTGTTTTTTTTAATAACTTTGGGAAGTTTTCAAATAGAATGTTCATATTAGAGGCAATGGAAGTTGGCAACAAATATAAATTAAAATAAGTAAAAAAGTCTAACTTCGAGCGGAGCCGAACATTAAATACCCGGCGCAGGTTTTCACCCTCATTGCGGGAGTCGTGTCGAATCGTATCGGAAATTTCACGCCATTGCGTAAAATTTCCACTCGACTAGTGTAATAAAACGGAAAAACTTGGCAGCACTGTATAGTTTTCAACGATTTTCATAGTTACTTATTTCAGAACGACAGTAGACAATGCCAATGTTGTCGAGTCGTACAATTTAGCCTATTTTGCGACTTACGCAATGAGGCTGAATAAATATAGTTTTTCACCTTTCTGAAAACTACCATTACATGGTAAGCAGAGTGGTTTTACCCCTATTTCTAACAATTTCGATAGTAAGTATGTTTAGTTAGACTTAATGAGATAAACTTATATAGTCACGCCCATTTTCCGAAATTCTATAATAATGTTACTTATTTTCAAGGAATTGTTGTAAGTATAAATTTTGAGTAAATTAGCGTCCTTAAATTTCGAAATATCGAATTTCAGGCATTTCTGAAATTTACCATTATATGAAAAGTGGGCGTCATTTTAGTCCGATTTCAATAATTTGCAACGGTTTGCTTTTGTGTGGCAAGCGCAATAATCATACCAAGTTTGGTATATGTGATCATAAGTCGCCCATTTTCCAAAATTTTATCATAAATGTATTTTTTGCTAAAAAGTTATTGTAAACATAAATTTTGAATAAATTAACTTCCGTATTTACTGATTTATCGAAGATTTCGTATTTCTTTAAGTTGCCGTTATATGGGATGTGGGGGCGTGTTTATTGTCTGATTTTAAAACACACCAAGGCCAACAACTGTGCCAAGTTTGGGAGAAATTGGCGGAGCGGTTACCAAGATATACACTTGTAATAATAAGTGGGCGTGGCTACGCCCATTTTCCAAAAATTTATAATATTCTTATTTTTCGTCTAAAAGTTATTGTAAATATCAATTTTGAGTGAATAAGGTTAAGTAGTTACTAAAACATCGCAGTTTTCGTATTTCTTAAAACTATCGTTATATGGGACGTAGGCGTGGTTATTGTCCGATTTTGCCCATTTTCAATACCATCCGTCCTACGCCAAAAATAAGTACACGTACCAAGTTTCGTTAAGATATCTTAATTTTTACTCGAGTTATCGTGTGCACAGACGGACGCATAGACAGTCACCGCTTAATCGATTTATTCTTTCATTCTGATCATTTATGTATACATTTGTCTATATCTGTCTCGATTCGTCTGGGTTTTTACAAACAGCCGTTATGTGAATAAAGTTATAATACCTTTGTGCACAAGTGCGCTCGGGTATAAAAAGATAAACAAGTTTCTAAAAATTAAATGAAATTAAAAGAAATTGTTTTAACAAGTTCTAAAAATTAAATTAAATGAAAAGAATGTGCTCTGCTCACTCGACCATTGCCACTGTTGATGAGGCAGCACGTGCAAAATCATATAAACTGAAAGAAATAATGAGTGATGCCACAAAACAAGGGGCTGCAACTGAGGCCACACTTGTGTTTTAATTTTTCATTAACTAATGAGTTCTTATATTTCAACTCTGAGAGGAGACATTAATTAACAGATAACGATCATTAGTTAAGTATCCGTTAGAGATAATTTAATTAATGTTTCTGAGCGAAGCTGTAAAACTCATTAATTTAGACCTACATTTATATCTGGCTAAGGGGTGTCACTTCAGAAATATTCTCCATAACTTTCTATTCTGTTATGTTGAGTACGTGGGTTGTTGTTGGTAGTACGTTTACCTCTGGGCCCGGGTCATTAATTCTAATGTTAAGTGTCTTTATAAGCAGACGTTGGTGTAAAAGTTCAAAGAAACTCCATTTGGCGGAGATTTGGTAGAGAGCTTTTACTTGCTTATTACTTAGCTGGAAAGATATTTATGCTTACGGCGTACAGTGGGGCAAAAAAGTTTGCTGTGGACAAATCAATTTTCAGAGCCCAAATAAGAACCGATTTCATGTTTCTTTTTTTAACTAAGAGATAATTAAGGTTCACGTCGATCTATCCGTGGCGATTTTTTAAAAAAGCTCCAGTTTTTTTTATTCATTTATGTTGAAAAATTAAAGAAAAAAAATTTTACGTTTGAATTCTTCCAATTTTTTGGAAAATACTTGAAATTAATTTCAAATGCCTGCAATTATTTAAAAAAATATTCGTAAACATTTTTCCATAGGATGCATTTAATTATGAATAATTTTTCAAATAATTGCAGACAGTTGAAACTAATTTCAAGTATTTTCCAAAAAACGTGGAGGCATTCAAACGTAAAAAGTTTTTTTCTTCAATTTTTCAACATAAATAAATAAAAAACTAGAGCTTTTTAAAAAAATCGCCACGGATAGATCGAGGCGAAATTTAATTATCTTTATAACTTCAAATCGGTTCATATTTGGGCTCTCAAAATTGATTTGTCCACAGCAACCTTTTTTGCACCCACTGTGCGGCCTACTATGGGCTAAATCACATTTTTTTTGGTTAAAACCTAATGTAACGAGAAGGAATAGAGATAGCGCAATAATTTTTCTTGTGAATAAAGTTCAAGTTATGCCGATTAAAGGAAAACTAAAGCGAACGTCAGCACGCTTTACTTTAAGGGCTGAAATGAGGCGCGAAATTGACTATTACTACGGTTATACGCACAGAATAATCGACTTAATTGAAAGCGCATTGACACCGTACACATTTCGCTCTGGTGTTTATACTTACGGCTTTATATCGGCATCAAAGTAACCGTCTTCAAAAGCAAACAAAATTAGATGTTTTCATTTGACATTTTATAAGTTAACATAATGGAAAGTGATAAAAATCTAGTTTTATTCGGCATTATAAAATCGTGGCAAAGAAAACGAACGATTATTATTAATCAGCTTTTAAATACTGATGCGATTATTTGGAATTTGAGCGGAACAGCTGATCTCCAATTCGCTTTGACTGAGAGCGGTGTTTATACACTCTTTCTAACTGTCTGGAGAAATAAACTACCGATTTGAAATGGAGTGTGAGCCAAAACACTTCGCTCTTTCAAAGCGACTTGTGCATGCGTATAAACGTAGTATATGTTCAATAAATTGATGAGTTTTCGCTTTTCTTTTTGCTGTATCTCACGAGGCAAATCACGATATCGATACAATATTTTTTTTTAATTGTAGTAAATTTAATGAAGATTAAGGAAAAGCTTATTACGATACCATCAACCTCAAGTTAGGGGTTGAAATAAGGGGTGAGTGACTAAAACCCAGAAAATTCCCTAAAAACATTGTAATAATGCAACGCCAGAACCCAAGGAGTTGTATTTATAGGGTATAAGTGTCCTGGTCGATTGGTTCGGGATTATGGCAGCCCTAGTGTACCGTCAAAAAATAATTTCAAAATAGGAAAACATTTAGTTATATCCGCAAACATCATAGAATAGCGGTGGGCAATCGAGGCTCTTTGCTTAGCAAAGTGCGGCTCTTTTTACTTTCTCTTTGCTTAGAACATTTTGGACTTTTTACTTTTTAA